GTGACCCTAATAGCACTCTTCCTTCCTTACCATACCCAGGTTTCTGTATGAAAATGAGCTGACTGTCGTCAGGAACAAGTCTTTCGCATTATTCACACACTTGGAGAAACTGTAAGTATCATTCAAGTTGTGGATATAAAGATATACTGTTTTTGTCATTGGTCTAAAGTACCGTTATCAGAAATACAGTAACGCGCAGAATACATACTATTAGGTTCGAGAGGAAAGTAAGACTACTTAATCTTTGTCTGTGTCTGAGAGCGGACTTAGAGCATAGGACAAATTCTTTGCAGGAACCTGGAAATGAATCTCATCAGTACAATCGAAGCGGACGCCTTCGTTGGACTTCACAACCTTACACAGCTGTAAGTATACCGTATACCAGACACGTGTTCAACATTAGTCCATCGTGGTCCTTTCCAAACGGAAACGTCCCCACAATCCTAACATAAAATCTGTTTCGCTTGTGCGCCACCACAATGTATTGTTCTGCTTAAACGTTGAAAACAAATCCTAACACACACGGAACTTTACAACTCAACCGTGACGGGGGCCGACATCGTTTACCAGATACATTTGTTGACGTCACATCCCCTAAACGCCACGTGGCAAGTCTCGCTGCCTTAATCTACTGAAGGAGATCAGAGTGACTGATCGAAAACTCTAAGTGAAAACTCCTTTGAGTTGGAACAACAGTTTGAACTCTAAACATGTATACGTGTTTTAAATGTTCATTTTAGGTATTTAGACTACAACCGCCTACAAACATTGGAGCCGGGTGTCTTCAGAGATCTCGCCAAGTTAAAGTGGCTGTGAGTGATTCTTCAATGTCTTTTTTAGTGTTAGAAATACCCGTAGATATATATGCATGCAATCATAGTAAGATAGAATGACATAAAGTTTACGAGACTATAAAAGTTTTACTCTTTGAACTTTTCATACAATCACTGTGTAAAATTAATCGATATCACTTCAATCATGTTTATTCCTATAGGTTCAAAAGGTCTCCCGTTAATTTCATATACGAGTCTATGCCTTTTATACCAGGATTTCTCTCAAGGGATTCATATAGTAGTAAAATAGTAAAATTGAAGTGAATAATGACACATGACAATACCTGCACTGTACATACAGTATTTTTGAAAATGCCTAAACACTAGAGGTTCCACCAAAAATGTAAAGTTACTTCCTCATCCTACTCCACATTGTCTTTTGTAAGGTAGATATAGTGTGGTTCTTGTTATTAACCGGGTTTATATATGCAATTACGTTTACGTCTTACCTTACGGTCATAGTGCTAGGAAAGGTGTGCTCACGCGTTCTTACTAAAAACACGTTAAACTTCTTACAGATACCTTAACCACAACCAACTTCGAGTTCTCAACTCCAAGGCGTTTTACGGACTTCGCAGTCTTGAGTTGCTGTGAGTTTCAATTAAGATTTTTAACTTCATTGAAATTGCTATTACTCGGATATTGCATTGTAATTGCTGAGTCGTTTGTCTATGACTATGATTAATATTTTAGCGTCGATGCAATGGTTTGACGTCAGTGTTCTTATCATCTTAGAACACTCTGCTTCGTTCCATCTCCTTGCTAGCGGACTGATTAACCTTTTTAATATCAGGTTCAACTCAGACATGTTAGAGATTATTTCATGTACAACCTGTCTGTCACATGGGATGTCTTTTTTCCTGCTGGAAATCCACAATATCAGACATCTTTGCGATCATTATGGCACTCTGATTTGCCCTTTTCAGGGAGTTGAGACTGAATCACATCCACGCAGTGGTCGGAGAGGGGATTTGGAACAACATGCCTTTGCTTGAATATCTGTAAGGAGCAAACTTTACTCTGTCAATGCTCTTTAATGGCTCTTTGGTGGTCTAAATGTCTAATCAAGAATGCCGCAATGAAATGCCTGGAAAGCCAATATCTAAATCACGCGTCATCTCAGACTCACCCGAACAGCCGATAAAGTAATCACAGAGTACGCTTAATTACCCCCACAGTCTGCCTGCACCGCTCCAGCACGCGCCGTGACGTCAGTAAGCTCATACAGGCTCATGTCTCTTCTCTAAAGGGACTGCGGTTAGATTTTATTAGGTGAAATGTGAATAATTCATCGAACATTTCCTGTCAGGACGTATTGTGACGCGAGTACGGCGTCATTCGTGGATTACGGCTGATGTGATCTGTTCAAACCTTTCTTGGCCTTTCTGTAACGCATTGATAACCATCATTTCGATACCAAGACCTGTATTCATTTTACAGAGACCTGGATAGCAACTTTCTAAGCTCTCTGGAGAGCTTCAGAGGATATCGCAACTTTGCTGCGACTCTAGAGCTGTAAGTTTTCCATACTTAACTATATTGCATTTCTTTAATAATACTATGGTAATAAAACCACGTATAGCAAAGAATAGAATTTGCAAAAGCATTGAGTTGCATTGAGTCATTAACACTTTTGGAAGAAAGCAACTCAACCTCGCTAACCTCATTGGTTCCTCGTTTTTTTATCCTTAAAAAGTTTTGTGTTGAAAAGAAAGTTTCTGCACAATTCATGAAGTTGTAAAGCCGGCATGCTTCTCTTCTGTGGTCACGATCGTTTAATTGCTTTGAACATTAACCTTTTCTAAACGCACCGTATTGTAGCGTCGTGAGGAACAACTCGATCGAGGTCATCGCTGCCCGTGACCTGGCCGAGCTCACACAAATAGACGGACTGTGAGTGCACAGGAGGTTCATTATATTCTTCCGCCAATTTTCTTTAACAAGAGCTGCATTGATTGTGACCTGTTCTGAACCGAGCGATGTCGGCGGTCTTACTAGACAGAGAGGGAAGAACTGTAATTCACCAAACGTACCTGATCAAAGAGGGAACCCCATTTTCTAACGACGTTCTGCTCATTGATTGGATTTGCGGTAATTTGACCACGTCGTTTCGTAATTACTGACAGGATGTTCCAGCGTCTTATATAACCCCAGTGAGGTCAAGAAATCGTTAGCTGACTGGGAAGAAACGCCGACAGCAAAAGACTTGAAACAAACCCGCAATTACTTTAATCTATTTGTTCATTTCAGTGACTTGTCAGAGAACAAGATAGTGAAGTTTCCAAGTGGAGTCTTCAGAAATCTGTCAGTCCTAGAAAAGCTGTAAGTTCTGTTAAAGTTATTTTCGCTGTTACTCTTTGTTTTCAGTTTAGAAGTTGCAAAAGAGTTGCTCTCACGTAGAATCATCTTTGTACATTCTTTCCAATCGTCTCTACACTATTACCAGCTAAATGTCCTTCTCCTAAAACAAGACACAGTTTCTTTCCTTTCGTTTCAGGAACATCTCCTTCAATCCACTGCAGGTCTTACAATGGGACCTGTTTGACGGGTTGGAAAAGCTGGGATCTTTGTAAGTACATGTCGCCTCCTGAACCACACAAGAAATACGTAGAACCGAAAAAAAAAACAAGAACGATATTTTCCCTCGTGATTACTTTGACTCCCACTTACTCTGAGTGGCAAGTTTTGCTCTGAGGGGAAGAAGAAAAGTCGTCAGTAAATTCCCGAATGGACCTCCGCGGAAAAGCAAAAGGAAATCCAGACTCCGAAGTAATGGAAACAAAATGACCCCCTCAGGTTTAAAAGACGGGAAGCCTACGCATGACTACATGCTCGAGGGAACTGCACTTTCGTTTTCCTGAAATAGACGTGAAAATGGGTAAGATGAAAGGCTCTCCGTACCTTGTAGCGGGCAATGCTACAAAACAACAATCAGGTAGAAAGTTGCGCTGCCCTCGTTAATAACGCCAACGGGACCAAAACTTTGTTGAAGTGCTGGTACCAAATAACAAGGGGATACATAAATGTTTTCGGACTTTTATGTCTCTATACTTTTTAGCTTTAGTAATATAAGTCAAAATTGTTGGCTTTCTCAAAATGATCCCTTTTCATCTCAAAATGATGCCTCTATCCTTATGAATCATTAACTATATGATATAAATGTACCGTCCTTCCCTACAGGGATCTGAGGGGAATCATGGCCCAAAACATGTCATTACGACTGTTCCGGCCCCTGCGCAAGTTAGAGTACATGTGGGTACAATTCCTTATATAGGATACAAACACCTAATGTCATGTCTTGATCTTCAAAGAAGTCAACTTACTTACTTACTAAAGTCAAGAAGTGAGGCATGAGAAAGTTCTGAAGATCTAAGTCAGAAATTTGTAGCATGTTTGCACTCATGTGACCGGGACCGTCACGGTTTTTTGTGTCGCCATATTGGTTGGTTAACAAAACTCAGCACAACACACAACAGAACAGTGTCTTATAGTTGCGTAACTTGTCCTTTTAATCTTCTTAGACTTTTCATCTTACACATGTACAAAATAAATGAACAAGACTAATGTTTGGATTCTTCAGTTACTTCAGCCAGTTCCGATACTGCGGGTTCGCCCCGCGCGTGCGCAGATGCACACCCAACACGGACGGCTTCTCAACTTTCGAGAACCTGCTGGCGAACTTCGTCCTGCGCATGTCCGTTTGGGTGGTCGCCATAGTAACCTGCGTGGGCAACACGAGCGTGATGATCGGACGGTCGATCATGAAGCACGAGAACAAAGTTCACTCTCTCTTCATCAGGAATCTGTGTGGTATGGTATCTCCTATCATTTAGCCAATGCATGGCAAAAAAATTGGAATATTTTCGAACACAAGAGAGCGATCCCACTCAATTTTCAAACAGACCTCAGGACTTATTCAGGAAAACTGACCTGGTTGCACAAGACACGTGAAAATGGGCCAAAGGTCAAAGAGGGTGGAAAGTTGTATCGTCCCCCGTCCAATAGCTCAACTTTCTCCATACTGTTACATGTATGTACCAGCACAGTTGAACTTGCATGCTAGAATGTTAAAGAGTCAAGATATCTTTATTGAGCTATCGCAGTGAAAATATCACTGAATTGCAGTCAATTTACAGACAATTTGTTTTAAAAACGCTCACAAAGACATGTAATATTGCACATAATTCTGAATCCTTTGGTTAAGAATACTTGTTTGCAGGGAAGTATATTACTGCTCGTGTGACTAAGATCTTTTAGATACAGCATAAAAACGTTTAAAAAATGTACACACAATATTTGGAGTTATTCAGTTCCTCATGGTTAAAAGTTTTTTTTTGTTGAAGGGCAAATAGTCTTTTTGAATGTGAATAGCTGAAAAACATTTTGGTTCACTTATAGGTACTTTTAAACCGTTGTCTTCCAGCCTCTGATCTGATCATGGGCATATATTTGCTCGTGATTGGAAGTAAAGACTTCATGTACCGCAACGCCTACAACAAGTACTCGCAGCAATGGAAGGAGAGTCTGGGCTGCCAGATCACCGGGTTCCTGGGCATGCTGTCCGCCGAGGTGACGGTGCTGCTGCTGACCTACATGTCCGTGGAGAGGTTCCTGTGCGTGGTGTTCCCGTACCGGGACAGCCGGCCGAACGTCGGGCAGGCGGTGGGGATCCTGGTCGTCATCTGGCTCAGCGGCGTGGCGCTGTCCCTGGTGCCGGTGATGTCGCCGGGCTACTTCGGCAACTTCTACGGCAGCAACGGCGTGTGCTTCCCGCTGCACCTGCACGAGCCGCACGGCGCCGGCTGGGAGTACAGCGCCTTCGTGTTCATGGGCCTCAACTTCGTGTCGATGATCGTGATCCTGTGCGCCTACACCGGGATGTTCATCTCCATCCAGCGCACGCGGCGGTCCATCGGCTCGCCGCTCTCCCTGCTCAGCGACATGTCCTTCTCCAAGAGGTTCTTCTTCATCGTGCTGACGGACTCGCTGGTCTGGCTGCCCATCACCGTCATCAAGTTCGCCGCACTGCTGGGGCTGCCGATCTCAGGTGACAAATCTGCCTTTAAAACATCTACGTTTAACTAGAAAAACATGCCTCAAAAACAGTTACTCAAGCAACTGGATATGATTTGGGAAGCTGCCTGAGTAAACTGTTTGGCGTATCTTATTACCTGGATGTCTAACCTTCACCAAGTTACTTTTGCCTATCTCTGTAAAACAATAACATCTTAACTTATTACCCAATAGGCCACAATGACGTGATTTAATGAGTAGCATTTCTTGGAAACTCCAACACTGATGCGAGCATCAGCAAACAAAATATGAAAAGAAGATGCCCAATTTGCAACATCTCAGCGATGACTAATGTTATATAAGGATAATGGCACACCATGGAGGTATAAAAACACAAACATGCCCATCAAACGGCTCCCCTGGCGCCCAGATTTATATTGCACCATCGATCAATGTTTGGTCGACGAAGGTTACACATCCAGGTGATGAGATACACAAGGACAATATTGTTACTCAAGCAACTGGATAGATTTTGAAAAGCTATACCAGACGTTTCAAGTAGTATCCAATACTTTTTATTTAATTCTACAGGTTCCATGTACGCCTGGATCGTGATCTTCATCCTGCCGATTAACAGCGCCATCAACCCCATCCTGTACTCCCTCACCACACGGACCTTCACCAACATGCTCGGCAACCTGGTGGAGAAGAGCCCGTGCTGCGCCAGGAAAACCAAGTCTGGGAGACTGCGGCAACACAAGGACGAAGGTAAGCGTCTTGTGATACCTGTTGATAGGTTACGGGATGATGTTCTTTCTTTTCCCATTGTTCCCATTTTTAGACAATTGAGAGCTCTACAATCACGGAACATAAAAAAAATGAACTAAACGTGTTGCAGGTCTCCAGCTTACACAGCATAATAATTATAAGTTTCACATAAATTCACAAAAGTTTGAAATGTCATCATCTCCTGTTAGCTTCCTGCTGTCCTACATTTGTGATGCTGTTCTTAATACGTCTGCTACGTGCATGAAGGTTACTCATCCAGGAATGTAAAATACATAGATTTTGATGAATCTGTACATCTGGATTGATAGAAGGCTTTATTAGACTATCGACCAGCATCCGGTGATAATTATATCAGTGAAAGAAAAGGTCGATGGAAAGATTGGAAGTCGATGGAAAGATTGTCTGAATCTTGCCTTGCAGTTGTAAATAAGCCAAATGCGAACGTAAAAGGATCTAACTGAAAATGACATTTTGCCATTAAACACTGTGATTCATATTTTCCCCATCGCCACCATCATCAATCACATATAAATACGACGTCCGTTGAGACTTGCGTGTAAGGCCACACCAAGTAAATTTTATGGATGACGTCCGCGCGCGCATTGATTTTGGCCTGTTCCTAGAAAAAAACACAAGAAATTCCGCTTCCTGTAACTATGACCAAAGAGTGACGACAGTGCCACAATGTTATGCTTGGTTTCTTCAGGCCTGCAAAAATGTGATGAAAGAAACACGACAGGACGACAACTGCTGTTCCACCTGATTTATTACTGTTTTGACGATGAATAAAAGACTTCTTGCTTGTTACATTGTGTCACGGTGACACCTTATTCAATCTGTGTACTAACATTTGTCGTCTCTTGGTATATTTCTAATCTAGACATCTTGTTTTTTAGGGCTCTTCTTGTTTTTTTTTCGCCCTCTCGCATTAGATTTAGGGTCTCCAAAGGACGTCATCCATACAATTTACTTGGTGTGGCCTAACACCAATTCTATCTTTTTTCCCAGCCTTTTCCGGTGCCACATACACAACTGGCGTGACGTCTGTTCTTCGACCGGTGAAATGTTTCAAAGGTAAGAAAATAAATATAAAAGATTGACAACTCGTATCACCGCTATGATCAGTGACTGTCGGTGGAAAGTCTCGGAGATGTGGCCGGTTGTATACGACAAATATTTTCTTGTTTGACACCAGCGACCATTACAATATGTTCACATTGGAATCCAATTTCCTGCTCCGCTGGACACATGAGTTTGTGTCTCGCGGAATTCCAGGGGAGGAGCAGATATTGACTTTGACCTGAAGTTTTCCGGTCACACAAAACACATTCATCAATACTGTTAGCAGCGAGTTGGTGACTTGAATCACAGGGTGCCGAACTAATTTCTACTCTTTTTCCAAACCAGAGCCCATCAAATACATAGTACCCCCTGCGACCAAGGTTATATTGCACCCACAAGTAATTCACACATCCAAGGAGGTTTTAAAGTTTGAACCTCCTCGACACATCTCATCATTTTGAAAAGAAAAATTGGCGACATATTGATAAATAATCTTAATTTAGTAATTACTGTGTATGTACATCTCAGGTATAGCGAGATAATCAGCAAAGCGTATCAAAATTTATCACAATGAATCTTATCGCGTAGTATCTGACATGTTTTTAATATTCCCGACTTTTAATAACTAGACATGGTGACGGCACACTCAAGTTATATCAACTTATTTTATGCCGCTACCAACGCAGAGGACGAATACAGGACAATACAATACTCATTTTCACTTGAGTTAAGTGAGGAAAGTCGTATAAAGTGCCTTTCCCAAGGGCACAAGATCGGTGGCATCTTGGTTCCGAGTCGAGCACGCTGCCGCTACGCCACACGAACTCACATTTGTAAAGGTTAGAGTTGTAGTTCTTCTTCACAATGCAAAAGGAAAGACTGACAAGAGATTTTCTTCATTTCAGTGAAACGGTCGTCGGAAACGGAGTTCTCGATGTCCGCCGTGTCGACGCCGACCTACTCCGAGAGCAACACGACCAAAGCGTTCGTCAGCACCATAGAGACCCCTGACGTCATACACAGAAGCTCCACTCTCAACAGCGTGCCGGAAATACCCTCGCTGGAAATCTCCGGAATAGATTCCGAGACTCCTCTTGTTACCTAAACATGAGACAAAGGGTTGTCCTAGGTTTTTAGCTATGTATTTAATATGTCATTCATCTTGTATGGAATAAAGATGATTTTAACCCCCCTGGAGAAGTTTTAGGGGAGTTACGTTTTCTCTCTGTGATGAATCATTACAGTTCGTGAAGTATTAAAAGCGGTATAAACTACTTATCTGTTTATCCAAGGTCGAAAATGGCATGCGTTGTATTAAGTTCAGGTTGAGACTGTGTTTTTCAACACGATGGAAGTGGCACGTATTGGATCTGTTACATTTTTAAACTAATTTGATCAATGATATAACGTACTTGATTAATTTGACATGTTATACAATGTGATTAACCAGGCCAGTTGCATTTGCCTGTGAAAAGTTGTACAAATTAAAAGACACAGTCTAATTACCTTTTGGGATGTCAGTCACAACGAACTTGAATATGTGTACAGTATACATTGTATATACACGGAGTTCTGTGTACAGTTCGTATAACCCCGTAATGTTTTAAAGGTACGAAGTGTATTGGGACCATGATGCATAATGAGTAACTGAGTGCCATATGTTTGTAACCACTATACAACGTGCCAATTCAACATTCTCCACAGTAATGTCTATTGTATATACGTATACTGTAGTAACCTGTTAGATATGGGAGTTAATGATATTTGTAAGAGACATAGAATTATTACACCAAAGTTAAGACGGGTGAGACCAAGAATCCAAATGAACATACCTTGATATAGGACAGAATTGTTGGCGGTTTTATTAACAATTCAAACCATCAGACCAACACCTTTTGCGTGTACAGGAAGGAAGAAATATTGAATCTTATGCTTGATATACTTTCCAGGAATGATGTCTCTGTATCTGTAAAAAGATGGACCAAGTCTACGTGATATATATGAAATGAAGGCCTTAAACCGGTATGTTCACGGGATAAAAGATTTAATTCAGAGGCTGCCAAGGTCACCTTGATGTCTTTAATCTGTACAGTAATGTGTCTGTGTGTACTCACTACCAATAATCAAGCCTCATTCATGTGTCAAGTTCTTAACTTGACAATAAAGATTTCTGCCAACCCCGGAGTGTTAGAGTCGTAAACCGTTTCTTGACTGCTTCGTATTTTCAACCTGATGTTTATCCTTGCGGTAAGAATGTAAATCACTGCAATAGTAGGCGCAGTTTAGTGTATAAGGCAGTCCTTCGTTGAACGGGTAGAGGCCGCTTTTGATCCATGCACTTCACGTAATACCACATCTACCTGCCCGTTTCTGTCACAAGTTGAGGAAACGGTTTCTAACATAAACTAACTTAAACAGAAACTAGGAAAACGTTACGAATTGCCATCTGCATTCAGATTAGGCCTAATTACTGCTTTTATAATACTTTATTTATTTGCATGTTCATGCCCATGGGGCTAAATGCATACATCAGAAAGTGATGTTACATGTACATCATTCTGAGTAACATGATACATAAGATACAAGAATAACAGAATAACAGAATGACGTAACGTCTTAACAACTACTAGTCAGAGAATAAACTAAACTAAGCCTTAAGGATTTCTTCTCTCTTTTTAAAGCAATTGGAGATAAACTCACAAAGTTTTTCTATTGTATGGTCATTACTGGTGGACATGAGATGACTGAATACCTCTTTCTTTGTTCTACCTTATAATATTATAATATCGATGACAAACTTCTCTAAAAGAAGATAAAAGCAGTTACATCGTCTACATAACAAGCAAAAATGACACAAACACATTACAGGGTATCATTTATTTGTATAAATGCTGCATATCAGGCTTGTAGAAAGTACTTACAGCTGACTGTACACGTGTGTACGTCAGTAAGTCCCATCTTAACAACCGTACATACATGTATACACATCCTAGTCCATCCGTGACATTCCAAACCGATTGTTCTGAAACTTGCTAAAATCCTGGAAGTTCATTACAAGGAACATAACATCACCATATTTGACCAACATTTCAGTGCAAATACATAAGTTCTGAAAAATTAAATCATTTAATGTTCACATTTGATAGCGCCTTTCTTTATTACAGAATAGGTCTGCGTATATGCTACAACAAAAAAAGATTTTACATTTATTAAACATCTGAAACAAGAGAATTTCTTAATCATTGCACAACAATCTGATTGCTTAGCAAAAGAATATAAAAGAAAATTTCCACCTGAAGCTATGCGAAATTCATTGAAGTATTAGTTAGTACAATGTACAAGCATTTTTGGCCCAAAGTATAGATTAATACAGAAATGGCACTGTCTTTCTAACCACTGCTTGGTCGCAGTCAGCCTTCAATTTGAAGCAAATATGAAAAGTCATCATTATCATATTTGACACACTATCAATAAGCCTTGCTAAATTTTGACTAAGTCAGAGGTATCTGTAGACTCGAAGATGTCTCCTTTGCTAGTATATAACAACTTTGCTAGTATATAACAACAAATTTTTTAATACCAAACAGGGACAGACCAAAACATTCCTCTTCCAGAGCCCCTGTTCTGAAGCTTGCGACAATAAGCCATTGTTTCCTCATTGTGTATACAGTTCCCATTTCTATGGGAATTCATGACTTACACCAATGTTTGCTTGTCCATTATTAGCTATGTACAACTAAGCCTGAATGTTTTGATTCATGTTTTGGGTGGCAATCTATACAAGAGCTTCAAGGGAAATGCTTGCTGTTGGGATTACTAGCAGAGTTGGGGTTTTATACAACAAGGGTTGCTATAGTGTTAAGTGTGCATCCACACTACCAGGCCATGCCGTCCCTAGAACTTGTATGCCTGACAATGGAGGGAATGTAACTATTGACTTACATATCCAGTGACTGATACATGTATGTAGTTGACATTAAATTAGGCCTATGGTTCCATTTTACAGCAACACATAACATTAATTCCCCAGTGCAAATTAAAAGCAATCACAATTCCAGTGATTTACTCCACTCCTCAGATGTAGCCAAAATCATGCAGCCTAGTTTTTTCCTTCCTGCATAAAAGTAATTGCGGCGGCATGGCCTGACAGCCTGTAATGTTCATTAGTACTGGCTATACAGGTTCATGTACAGGGATCTACAGTGTTACCTGGATCGTACCTAATTTTGTGACATCTTGCTTGGTTCAGAGGCGAACGGCCTCTAGGTCAGATTTATACTATTAGGTGTTCAAACTAGGGAAAAATTTGTGAAATTTGCTGGTGCAGCATGGCAATGTTCAACCGAGAAAGAAGCACCAAGTATTGGAGAAAACTTTCTGGTGTATGTTACAATGGAATTCATTAATATGTATTACACAGGAATAAATGAATGTCAAGTACACACTCTAGTATGATTACTCTACAGGCAATCCAGTATGAACTTACACAAGTTAAGTCTGCCTACGTAGACTACATCTGATTCAAACTAAGTATGGTACCTTATGATTGCTTGTGATCATGAAGCAGCTGCTCTTGAACAGAAATGCCCTTATGTACAATTAAGTCTGTTACACATCTTCTTTTTGCTTACTCAAAATATTGCTTTATATGAACTTCAAATGGACAGGAATTCCTTAACAAGACACTACAACTGAAAGCATTGATAGAAGATACAACATAACTGTCACATTATATTGCCTTGCTACCTGGACCTCTGCTGTTTTCTTGCTGCTAGTCATGAGGTTGAAGCAAAAGTTGCCATTTACAATACAAAATGCTTTGACATGAGCATGTTGTTTATTGCTATTCAATTGAAAAAGCCTTGCAACACATGGGATTTGCTACAGTACTTGTGAAATGCTACCAATTGTTCTATGATACCATTTATTTATCAAACATTGCAAACTAAGCATATGATTGTCTGCACATCTTCTATAATATGATGCTGAATCCAACTATTGAAATACGAAATGTACAGCAACAAATTGAATGCTGTAGGACAACATAAAATGCTCAAATACTGAATATTGACAAAAATGGAAACAAGTATTGCTCATAGAAATTCTATACATATACAATGCATGGAACCAGCATGCTCACATGATACAGAAATCATTGATTCATCATAAAAACACATTCTGTAACTGACTGCAACTATTCTATTCTACAGAAAGAAACATTGCTTTCTGCCAGCTTGAAAATTAATTATGATTATTCAGCATTTTGAATTATTTTGGAAAAGCAGTCTGCAAGAATTTGGAGGAAGTGCCAAGTTCTTTGCTAAGTATTTTACACTGATTTTAGAATTAGCCCGTATAAACACTCAGAGGGCCCAGCCTGGGTTGAAACAAGATAGCAAAGCAGAGTTCTTTTGCCATGAGCTGACAAACAATGAGAATTCTGTACAGGAGGGGAGGGGGGCATCTTGTGGGTCAGCTGTATGTTTCAACATCTGCACCAAGTAGATAGCCAGTCAAAGTTTTGTCAGATCAAAGGTAGCATAAAACATGTGCCCCCCTCCCACAATCTCACCACTACTTCTCTACATGTATTGTTGTGACGACTCTTTTGTCTTCAACTCTTGTCCAAGGATAGATTCCTGAACTTCTTCAGGAAAGACCTTGACTTGGTAGGGGCACCAGACTGGAAAAAATGAAGAAGGAAACAAATTATCAACTAGAGTAAATGAATATGTTTAATTGTTATTGCCAATTTGAGATTCTGTTTTTGAATGAGGCAATTTCCTTTTTTTTCATTTTGTAATATCTTTGATTTGGCTGAAAACAGTACATGTACAGCAAAATGATTCCCAGAAAAACATGTTCAAACCATATCTGGAAAAAAATTCCAATCCTAGGAATACATGCCCAAACCATACATGGAGGAAAAAATCCAATGCATGCATCCATTCTTCGTCTTTGATTATGACACATGCTTACTGATTGGCTGTTGCTAAATTCACTGTGATTGGCTAGCAGCTGGATTCTCTAAGAGTTGGGTCAATCCTCCTCTGAATGGAGAGTTTCTTCATAAGCTCTGACTGGAAACCTGCCGGTACACCCATAGGGCTGTGTGGCTGGTAGAGAGGACAGAAGAAGAGTAAGAGGGAGGAATGATGATCTTCAGTGATCAACATTATACAGTTCAGCAACACACAAACGTTAACAACATCAAAACACACAGAAAAATTAGTCTGGGACAGTTTGCAACTTCATGAAGATATTACATAGATTTTCTAGTATCAAGCCTCCTTTTTCAAATCATTGCAATGATACTTGTTAGAAATCGAGTAATATTATGACATTTCAACACACACGTTAAGTACAATTGACACATCCAAGACATCTTTGGCCAGCAGTACACAAAGAAATTTTAAAGCAACTTGACTTCACCAAAGCAGTCATTTGATAGGGAAAGGAGAGAATATTACAACTGCACTGCAGTCACAGTATCAAAGAGCATTCTTCAATTAGAAGAGCTGTGCTTCCATTCCATGTTAACCATTGGCAAGTACAGAACCAGACGAGAGAAGATTTCACACATACAGGAAGAAGTAGCGACCAGTATTTAGTACTGTAACACAGTCCACCAGCACCCAGCGCCCAACCTACAACCACAGCTGTACTTTCAGCACCCTGACTAGCTGGGTTTGCACACATGTGACTACGATGCATGTATTGTCTGCCATGCTGTGTGGTTAAACCCGATTGTCCTGGTAAATTTCCATTTGTATGTGTAATTGTTATCTGGTAATTATGGCATTACACACACACATTCATGTACAAATTCATAGGCCTGACTCTACCAGGTTCTACCAGCCAGCATGACAGCTGTGACATCAGGTTGGAACACCCGACTGTCACTGGTACTTACAGAAGGGGGAGGGTGTCTGCCGCCGGTCCTGGTGGGGTTGATCTGTGTCCCGTATGACTGACTCTGTGGAGAAAACATCGTCAAGTTAGACAAACCAAGAAAAAAATCTCTCTCATCTCATCTATCCATAAGTCTAATTATTCAACCTTTGGGGCACCACACTGATGATCTGACAGCAAGTTTCCCCCACCATTCTAAGTTTACTGCTTTTAGAAGACCCCAAAAGTCCATGGTTAAAAGGCATGGTTATTTCCCATCTTAACCTTTCACTTACATGTAGTGTTTCCATTCTCTGATATTATCCTCCCATCTTTTTCCATTGCCTACAAATCTTTCTTCCTCCCTCCCTCAACTATTACTATGGGCCACCACAGACGATCTGACCACAAGTTTCCGCCACCATTCTCATGTTTTCTACTCACATAGTGTTTCCATTCTTTAATATTATCCTCTCATCTTTTCCTAGACTGCTCCTAGCATGATAACCCGCCCCTATTATGAAACATGCCATACATGTATATGGGAGTAGAGTATAATCAATCCATGCACACCATGCACAAATCATGTTATCTGCCTAACCAACACACACCATGCACAAAGCATGTTATCTGCCTAACCAACACACACCATGCACAAAGCATGTTATCTGCCTAACCAACACACACCATACACAAAGCATGTTATCTGCCTAACCAACACACACCATGCACAAAGCATGTTATCTGCCTAACCAACACACACCATGCACAAAGCATGTTATCTGACTAACCAACGCTTCCTGGGAGTAGCCTGGGGCTGCAGCGTACAGGGCCATGGGAGCCAGGGGGGTGGGGGGCTGTAGACCCTGGGGGTACTATACAACAGAACACTTTCATATCAGTTTCATACAACAACCATCATGTATGTGACAGACGATTTTATCAAGATATGTAGTGCAGTGCACATGGATATAGTAACTGTATCACATCAGATGAGTTTGCTAACTTAGTATTCATACAGTATAATGTACAAATGTACTATAACTGGATAACTCACAACAATATTTCCTAGATATGGCACTAAGAACAGAGCTTGAAAACTGAATGAAGTTGAAGATATGACAGGAATTTTTGTGTCTTACCTTCAGCTTGAGAATGTGGCAGACCCATTTGTACATCTCCTCCTCACTCTCACAGCAGGCAGTTCTGAAAAATACACAATCAGAAAAAAACATAAACATGTGTAACAAAATATTTTCTTCTGAGCTGCCAATGAATCAAAGCCACTATGCTTAGTGATCATAAGCTAAATTACCCAATTTTAAAAGGCAATCATTTTCATCCACACCTGTATATGTAAGAAGATTATATATGTTGCAAATTCAATGCCAGGAGAACACACAACCTTATTATGCATTTCAACTTGTTGGAGCAATTGTAATAACTGTATCATGGGTGAACACTTGGCAGTCCAAGATACCATTTAGAAAACAACGTCCCCTGCTAATCTTGTCCTTGTATTCTGTGAACCAAAGGGCAGTTGTACATGTAAGTCACCTGGTGAGAGTTTCTCCATTCAGGACCACGGTGAAACCAAACTTGGTGGGAGGGGACTTCTTCTTCTCCACCCCCACATAGATGTTGAACCCTTCCACCGGCCAGGCTGCTATGGGCTTTTCTCGAGACTGCAGCAAAGGAAATGTCTCTTTCAACTTTCAAACAGACGAAATTTGTGTGTGACAATGTTCAAACTAACATGTAATGATATACACGGTGTACTCATGTCACTAAAGCAATATTTTTTTATATATGCTTCAATCATTTGTGTTACCAGACAGAATGCATTTCATTCATAAGTTTTAATTTACACACATACATAGCCCCCAATCATTAGTTTGCATACCTTGGTATCCTTATAGTAACTGAGCCTTCCTCCACTGACTTCAAAGAAGTACTTTTCGAAGGAGTACTTATTGATGATCTTCCTTCTGTCTTCACAGTACTTCAGTTGGCACCAGGGAGTGGGCTGGCTGATGGACTGTGATTAAGAGGGTGGAAAAAAATCAATCTAAATCTTAACATGACATTCTACTTTTAATCAATGAAGCTCTTCTAAAAGATATGAAGCAACAACAATACTATCATTTTCTGATTATCTGCTGAAGATATTTTCTTTCTATGAAATGCCCTTCTTTCTTTATAAAAAAAGATTAAAGAAATCAAACCACAATGAATATTCAGCTTCTCAAAGGGTTAATTTTTCACCAGTGTTGGTTAGTTTCTTTATTTGCCCATGATTGTCCAAAAGATCTTAGTGTTCGATATTTGACCATTTTACCCAGAGACATGATTAGAATTAACCAGAACCAAAACCAGAAAAGTTTTAGAAGGATTTTTACAGTTTGTGAGAATTTGGACAAGTTTCAACATGATGCTACCTCGGCAGAGCTTTCTGTTATCCTGTCTGGTGTCTGCAACAAAAGTTGAATTATAACAAAGTCATAATCAATTAATAAATGGCAATGTTTGTTTACAATTATAATAACTTCCGGTGGTTCCTACGTGTAGTTCTTCGTTAACTATGGCCCACCTCTCCTTCTCTTTTCATCCAGCTTCTTAAAAAGTAGCCAATCTGTTGTACTTTGCCTTCAAAATGTGGATTCTATTTCCAACTCACCTCTTCCATTCTCTCCAGGATGAAGTTGTGTTTCATGCACAGGTAGTTGGCGGCTGAGCCGGTGTGGTCCTTCCAGCTCTCCAGGACCGGGAACACGCGCTCCTCATAGTACAGCATCCTCTGGAGGTCCCCGTCCCCAATCACCTCGAACAGCGCCCACGTCCGGTCCGGACGCAGACCCTTCAGCGAGATGATCTGGCTGCACAGCTGCTCCGACGTGGAGTCTGGGGAAATCTGGGGAAGCCACACAGAGGCAACTGGTTAATGCTTCAAGAACAGGCAGTCTTTCGTTTGAATGGGATGCATGGGATGGTTCACACAGCATTGTGTCCATACATGTATCTATCAAAATACTTGTAAACTTGCGCTTTCATGTACTCTATAAGGCTAAATTTATGCAATTGAAAGTGGTTGTCAAATGCTTTCAATCTTGCAATTGAGGCTGGTTTGTAGCAGTTTTACTGTGTTTTCACCTTGACATTGACTCTTTTCCCTGTCTTGTCCTCCAAGTACACCTCCATGAGAATGTCATCAGTTTGAGTCTGTAGAAAGAGAGTGTTAGAAAGATAATGTAAGCAACACAAAACGCTGTGTTGGACATTGGCATTTGGCAGTGCTCTTTATATTGACCATTCTGAAACATATATATTTCTAGGCGTGAATTTTTAATTAACTTTAATTAACAGAATATATTCTGTGTATTTGCAAAGTTTACATACCTGCATCTGCTGAGCCTCCATCAACATCTTAATCTGTCTCTGGATCTCCTTCTCCTTTTGTAACTCATCGTCACTCACCTACAACAAAATTAATGCATTTGAAAGGAGAATAAATTTTTCTTTTTTTATTTCTAACTGGTACTCATTATGAAATAATATACTGTAGATCATCTGTGCATTTGGAAAGCATACACAGTAATGTTTGATAAACATATGGATATCAATGATACAAACTGCTTTAATCTGAAAGGGGGATATTCTTTTACTATATCAAGCAAGGCTTACTCAATCTTGATGCATGTTTTTTCACCATCAAAGTGACTGAAGGAAAGTGGCAATACATGCAAAAGGATTCTCCTTACATCAAACAGCCAGGCATAGTAGTCTATCATGTATCCGATGGTCTCAATCTCCTGGTTGGTTCCTCCGTAGCCGGGTGCCGTGGACTGTGAATGTGACACATTGCAGATAAATATTTCAATCAAAACAGCAAAAAGAAAAGCTTATAGTTTTGTCATCAGAAACTATTGAAAACATGCCCATGTATAAATTAAAACATCCTCAATAAAAAGAACTTGCACCTCTGAAACCATTTTTTTACTACTACACTATTACTACTTAATCTCCATACATGCATTTTAATTATTAAGAAAAAAGGTTGCTGCAATTTTCATCAAGCAAGTCTAAAAGTCACACATGGTGTCAGAAGCGGGATCCCTTACCATGTCACTGGCCATGAGGGTTGGTCCAAACACAGCAGACAGATTCGTCGATGTCATCAAGTTTGATTTGGAGTGATCAGACACACTAGACATTTTTGAAATAGAAAAAAGGGAAGTGTCAGTAAAAAATGCTGTAAATAACATGTACAATGTAAGATTGCTCTGGAAAAGATCTCACAAATTTATATTTTACATTTTGTGTGACCTCTGACCTTTTCAGATGACCAATCATCTTCTTGAGAGTGGCATAGTTGATTGGGTGTTTGGTCTGTAGATGTTCCAGGTAGTGCTTGAACCAGGCAAGCTTTGCTTCATGTTCTCTCTTGTCATAGCCTGGAGGAAAAAAAATTGTAGGATTTTTTTTAAACAAGCTATCCCGTTTAGTCTTGTAGTGATGAATATTCTCAATTGCAGTGATAACATTATTGGAAGGCAATTTGCATACTTCATACCTTGATACCATGGTATCTTCATATGTTTGGTTCTATTTCATCAATTACTGCCAGTAGGTTACAAGCATCAAGACTTGATTCAGAAGTAAAAAAAAAATTGTCCTCATGCCCACAAAGAATTAAGGAAGCGTTACTCATTTAGAACAAAAACATAACACAAAAGTGCCACTTTAAAATGCAGTAATGCACAAAGTACACTTTAACACATCTGTGTGGTCTTTTTCTAAAAGAAAAGTCAACACTGAAATCCAACACCCACCAGCTACTTCTACCCAGTTGTCATGCAGTGCTTTAGTCAGGAGTGGGTCCTCCAGGTTTCGGAAGTATCTCTTCAGACAGTTGGCCACATCGTGTACTGAGTGATCCCCCAACTTCAACCTCACCGACCTCGCATCTACAAGAAACAGTGTTAAATGTTTAATAGTGTTAAAAGAAGTAGATGGACAATAGCACTATCTTAACCTTTATAGTGTCAATCTACAGGCAAAAACAGAGAATCTGATGGAGATCTGCCATCAGAACTTGTCAACTTACAAACATGTCTTACAACACAGGGGACAATGGTTTGTAAACTGGATAGTGAGTGAGAAGTTACAGATTAGAAATAGAATTTTCTATCTATGCCTATACTTTGATTCGTATGATTTTGTTTCAAATGAAAGAATCAGCTAGTTTTGGGGGAGATCATTATGAATGGTTACAGGTAAGTTTTATAGTCACCTGTGTTGAAGTCCCTGAGTAGCTGTTCAATCTTGGAATGGGTGCCGTTGAGGCGGTAGATTCCTTCAGCCTGTAGCCCTGGAGCGACAAGGGAAGGGAAAAGGTGAATTATCAAGTTGCTCCTGACAAGAATAACGTAAGTCTTACGGTTGTCTGAAACGTGTATATACAGGAGTCTTCATACATGTACACATCAGTGAAGACATAGCATACAGTATATTTGCACTTTTCTCCAAGATCATGAAAAAAATTACAATTTGGGTTCAATGCAATACACTGTATTTTGTGCGTAAAATTGCACTGTCTAGATTTACCCACCATGAGTTGTGACAAACTCCAGACATCTGTCCACGATGACTGGAATGTTCTCTGATGTCAACTGCTGCTCTTGAAGATTGGTGCCACCCTCCTAGTGCACAGTAAACGGACAACAATGTCCTTAACAAAAATTTCTCTAGTTCAACTTTCCAACACCTTTTCACACTTGTTTGCAAAACCAACAATAATGACAAAAATATGAAATGCACAACATTTTAGCAAAGTGGTACAAGCTGAGTGTCACTTTAAGGAATAAGAAATAATCCTAAGGAAAAAAATGACTCACCGTGCTGGCTTTCTGAATAGCAGCATACCAGTCATCAGTATCCTTCTTCCCTTCTCCTTTTAGACTCAAAGCTGGCCTGGAAATACATTGACATGTGTATAGTATCAACTACAATCCAACAACATGACAACTCAAGTATACAAGAGCATTCATTTCTTAACAGAAATTTGATAAATAAGTTCATTATCCCTTACCTGCCATGCACAACTACAGACATGTAGTAACTCTTGTCAGTCAGGTCCATGTTCAAGGTTTCCGTGTGCTGACCTACAAATCCAACACAGCCAAGGTCAATGTATAAGTAACAGGCTTGATGCATGATGTTTAAAACTTTTGTCATTTGGACAAGACACATAACTATCAGTAATTCTAAAGAACAAGAAATGTCATAATTATTCATTATGGAAAATAATACTTACTCAGAGTGACCAGTTTCCTCAAGTCAACAGTTTCAACCTCCCTGGAACTCTGTAAGAAAGTTAATTAACTTATAAATATAATGGATTACTTGGAACAAATAACAATATCAGTGCTGCAAATTTGTACATGCATGACTTACTACTCTTCTTAGGAATATAACAAAAGTACATGAAAACAGGCCTAGAATGGATTCCAAAACATCTCAGAGACATTTTAACTTCCATAAATACCTTGTTCCAGTAGTTGAGGTTTTTTCCACTCAAGTTGCACCAAACACTAACCCAACTCTGAAAAAAATAGCCAACAAACAACTTAAATCAACAATTTTCTATAAGAATATAAATCAAGAATTTATTAATTATAAAGGGCAAAGGAGATGAAGCTATTCCTAAGCTCTTGAACTGTCTTTTTTCCAATGGAAATCCCATAGGTTTAGAAACACCAACATTTCAGCACCAAGGAGAGAACCTCCTTACCAGGCTTGGGGAGTCCTTCATGTACAGGTAACCTGCCCTGTCAAAATCTCCCATCTTGTCCACAACTCCCGGAGGGGCACAACACTAAGGAGGAAGAGAATAAAACCTCCAACAACCAAGTTCCAACAACCTCCTGGCAATGGTGTAAGTGGATAAATGTAAATGTGCCAACTCCAATTGTTAAGGTTAAAAAAACAACAACAAGGCACTGAAATGATACATTATGCCATATCATATACTGTAACAGTGCCATCTTGTGCTAACTGTGATAAAATTGTAGTGTAAGAGCAAGGCAATATATAATATTTGTTCAAACATATTAAGAAACAGTGGGTAGTCCTACCTTGGCAATGTTATGCATCCATCTGACCCTGTCCTCCGGTGTATCAGCACAGAACATGTACTTCTTGTCAAATGTAGACAACTCAAAACAGTTCACAAATCTGTAGGAAACAAAAATTCACATACAATGTATTTCATAAGACATGCCAGGAAGTGACTTGTGTGCACTTTTTCCCTTCTGCATTGTTCATGCTGAGAGCTAACCATGGTGCCCAACCTGTAGAATTAGTAAATTTTAAGTATGGAAAGTACATGTAATCAATGTACAATGCACTCTTTCAATGTTTGAAAACATTCTGGTATCGTATGCCTTACAGAACCTTTCAGTTTACATAGGAAAACAATCCTGAGTTACTTTATACTGTATTAAACATCCAATTTACCAAGCACACAAATGGCCACCTATATATATAATCTCTATCTGTCACCTGTCATAATTTGTGACTTTTGCTTGCTTTGAAAATTTTCAGAAGGCAGTAAAAATTCATCAAGTCTTACAAGGAGCAATGATTTCACAAATAAATGTATTTTGGAAAACAGCACTTTTCTTTTTTCTAAACAGGACAGTGAAACCTTGCAACCCCACCAAAGGTCAAGGGGCAAAGGTTAACCTGTCCTCCATGTCACTGGTCTCCTGGCTCTGGGTTGGTTTCACTCTCCGCCTAACTGATGGTCGTTTTGACGGTCTTATCTGTGATACTTGTCTTTACATTTGTAAAATATGATAAGATTTAGAATGATAGACAGACAGGAACAGAGTGGCCCAGGATTGCAGAGAAACATACATGTAAAGTAGAGAGATCACCACAGGAAAGTTACATTTATGGAAAGATTACCGATTCAAAATTATGCATGCTTGAAATTTACTCATCAACCAATTGAAAGCATGCATTAGCACATTGCTACTATCCAGCAAATTGTGACATAACAAAATTTGACCTGATGAGAATTTACATTATGAAAATAAATTTGTTCCATTCATTCATTCCTCCTCCTTACCGTTTCTTATGATTGTCTTTTTCTGAGGTGTCTGGTTTATGAAGGAAGTCCAGTTTAGACTTGTGAGAGAAAGAGCTAAAGGAATACATGTACACGCAGGGTCAGCAAAGTCAGTGGGGCTGGCAAGAACTTCTTACCACCAGGAAAACATCATTCAACAATTGAATTAATCAGCATTTTCATTTGAACATGAATATTTTTTAATTGTCTCACACGAATTTGCACTGGTGGCAATGCAAAAGCAAGCATTTCAAACAGATACTGCTGTAGCAACAATTTACAAAGATTGCAAAACAGAAGACATGCAAAGAGATAGAACATTGCAGTCTCAAACATGAACATGTACTGTCACCTTTCACTACATAATCTCATTGAAAACAAACCAAAAAGTTTCTTATTTTCTAAAATTACTTTGTTGGTCTTTAGTAACAGTATAAAAGCATAGCAGAAAACCCTTCATACAATAGACACAAGTCAGGCTGAGGTAGATTGACAGTGAATATTGACAACAAGGCACTACAGATGTACAAAGCATTTCAGGAAAGAACACAAAGGACAAAAGACTCAGATACATGCAAACTTAATGTGTTCTCCAGGTCATCCCATTACTATATAGATTATCATGGTAGACTTGTTTATGTAGGTTTGCAATTCCACTTACCCTGACTTCATGGCCACATCAGGAGTGTAGTGCTGCACACAGAGGATGTCTTTGGTTTCAATCATGTTCTTGGCTTTCAGATCCTGTAAAAAAAGTAAGTATAATGTATTAATATATATCTTAATCCCCTTCCTTAACTTTGTGATGGAGACTATAACATGTCTTGTCATAGTAGAAATCAATTGCTGTTTTCATGCATTGACAAAAGAAGAATCTAATATTATCTATTCAAAGAACAACATCTCTACTATAGTTAAACACACATGAAAAATTATATCTACGAATGCCTAAATTTGGACATGTCTCCTCACCTTGTCATCAGCGTAGTAGCTGAGTACCTTGTCCTCCAGGATGCACCATCTCTTCTGGAAGTCTCCTACTGCAGAAAGGACAAAACACAATTTAAGGGTACGGTATCCTGTCACTTCTTGAATCCAATTGGCATTCTTTTGAAGTACAGTGAAATCATCATTCAGATTAACAAAGGATTCTGACATCAAGGACGATCATGCATTTTGCAATCTGATTATACACAAAACAGTCTATTACCTCTAATGATATGTTTGCAACAAAAAGAATCAACTTTGTATAAGAGATTTTCAACACTTATGAATGTAAGGTCAAACCTCAGGTCCAAAGACAATTAGAAATAGTGAATTACCTCTGCCTATGAGTCCATCTACAGACACATGAATGGTACCTCGTGAGGTGTGGCCAGTTTTGTGTAACCAGCCCCTCAAGGACACAGGCTGCTGGGGAATAGGGTCTCTGTTCTCTGCATTCTGGAAAAAGGGAAAAAATAGGATTATGGTCATGTGCACATTTTTCAAACATAAAATGGATGGGTAAAGGATTAACATGTGTATGTAAGAAGTGTAGAAAAAAGTTTGACATTGATTGGTGAACAATTTCTCTTCATAAATTGTAGTAAAAAGATAAATTCAGTCTGTACTTACAGAGAAGATTGTGGAGATACTGGTCTTGTTCTCTCCTGGGGAATCTAAGGACAGTACAAGGTCCAAGGTTATTCCATATGTTACAGGTTGCAGGGTTAAAAGGCACCATGAAAAGTAAACTTAACAAAACCACGGACTAGTGAGACTGAGCTGAAGAGTTACCTGAAGCTCCATTTTGCTGTAGAAATTCCTGCAACACAGCAGAAATAAATGTGAAATTCTGGGCATTTAGTACATACGTATGGACGTACATGTACGTACATACAATGTAGACATCTGGCACAGAGTATCAAATTGTTCAAGAGTGTAACAACACAACAAAGCCTCTTACCATTTGTAACACTTTGTTGGCACTTTCTGCTAAGTAGTATGCTGTTGATATAAATCAATATAGTTAGCAACAGCAACTTGACATTCAACAATATTGTCAATAAAAACACTCAACTCATCCTTCACAAAACTGCTTTCTTGATCTTTGACTGCTTTCATGACAGAAAAATAAATGGCAGTGTACTTACGCTGTGGCTTCTCTGGGTCCCCCGTTGAACAATCAACCTATGGGATACAAATAATCCCCACTTTGGTCAAACCTGTAGCATTTTAAAGGGATAATTAAGCTGCCATGACCATGAATATTTCTGATATTCTGCAAACTGTGTATGTTAAAAGGAATTGGCCGTGTTTACAGTGTACTTTAACCAAATTTTCAAATTTAATGGGATACAAATTTTTATATTTTGTTACAACATTGATTGTACCTGCAGTGCTTCAAACAAATTACTACTGTGTTGTCTATGTGGTATTTGACTGTTTGTAACACAACTTACATCAGCCCCACACAGGACCAGGTGGTACGTCTCCATGATTGCATCTTCAACAACTGCTTTGCACAGAGCCTGTAATGTACAATGTACCACACTTGATTTGGTGCACAGTATCGATTGGATTAGGAACTAGTAATAGCAGTTGAGGAGCTTACACTTGTGTATTCTTGCAGTATTCCCTGTAAGAAATGTTTACTTAAAATGCTCAACAACCAACAGCAAATGTACAGGTCATGTACTCAGCCTTGCATGCTGATTCCAGATCCAGTGATCATATGATCTGACAATACAGCAATTTTATTCAAAGTCATGCCATAACAAGGTATCATTCAATACAACAGAGTTCCAATTTTAAATGTTTGCTTCAAACACTTTTTCTAAGAAAAGAACATGACTACAATGTACGTGTATATGCTGGCAGAGAAAAAGAATTTTACAACCTGTGCCGGTGCATATCAGCATGAAATGAAATAATATATTCAAGAAATGTACCTCATGCCATAAAGCAATACTAACCTCGTTAAGCTTCTGCTGGTTCATGTAGTAAGGGTGGGGCTTGATGTACTTCCTGTTTCTGTACTTGTTCAGGATGAAGTCTCTCCTTAAGTCCCTGAAATAAGCAACAGACATTCCCTGACGACCATCAAACGCGCTGTATGTAAGGGCAACTTAATGATAATAGTCAAACAGTCTTTTCTTTTCAATAAACCATTTTGTATGCCCCATAAATGCTGAACTTACATGGGAGAGTCCTTCTCAATTCTCTCACTCTCAGGCAGGTTGTACTGCAGATAGTAGTTGGCATTGTGGTTGGCTATTTGTTTGAAGAGCTGTAAGAAGAAAAAATAACAATAGTTAACACACATTGCTTGATTTAACAGGATGATTTAATGACTTAACTGTTAATGTTATCAAATGATACCGAGAATGGCTAAAAGTGTACAGATTTTAAAGCATCCAGTATAAATGGTAATGATATCAATACATATTTTGTTTTACAGCTACTGTATATTGAGTTGAGGAGAGTTTCTTGGTGTTTACCATGACCAGGCGTTCTGTCCAGACTCGCAGGTCCATCTTGAGAGACCTGTGTTTACAGATGGGAGGGCCAATCTCTCGGTGGATCCCTGAACACTGCTTACACACCACAACACCCAGGTTAACGGACGCCCAGTCTGGGTCTGGAAAACAGACATAAAACCATGTCAAATCTTGTCTGTGATAATGTAAGGATTAGGTGCAAATCATACAAATGACAACAGCACATATCATATGGAAACCACATTACCTTGCAATTAGCTGAAGGCTCTCTTTTAGTCCATAAGGGAATTGTACAGTTAGTAAGAATGATGAAAACACAAGATTCTTACCTGGACTGCCGCAGTCCGCACAGTACTTGTTCGACTGGACTTCCCATACCTGATGCAACACCTGTACGTAAAGAGAAATAATGAATCAAAAGCAAAGTTGTTTTGACTAATAGCTTAGGTACAGTGCTCTACTTCTTCTTTCAAATTAGCTTAAGAATACAAATAGACAAGTGACAGGTAAAAAGGGATTGTACATGGCTGCACTGACGTGCTTTGTCATGCAATATTTCTGCTCTTGCGCTTGACAGAATGTAGGCGATGATGACTACTTTTGAATAGTGATTGGCAGAAACCACGAGAACTTCAATCCATGATGTCATGACCTTAATCCTAAAGGGAAATGGCTGACTGCCAGCCCCTTTGAAGCTTGGAAACCTCTGTTGTCAGTTTATGGTGCCTTACCGTCTGGAAGCACAGGCATTACCACTGAAATTGAACTTGGCTTTGTGCCTACCAGACTGGTAAGCCATTAAAGCCAATGCCCTATCTGATGCATCTTAATAACTGACTTTCTCTGGGACAGTATAATGCAATCATGTAGTCTACAAGCGACAGGCAACTAGTGGGACGTTCCCTCCACTTCCGGGAATTGGCAGGTTAGCTTTCTCCCGCCTACTCTGCCCTTTAACAAAACAGTTTTAGGCTCACAGTTTGGCTCACACGAAATTGCACAGAAATGAAACCAAGGTGACCCCAAGTCAGTCAAGTCCTCAAATGACCTAATACTGGGGGTGAGCGCAATGCAGAGATGGTGTAGAACTATCATGTGCTGAGAAAGGGCATGTCTGGAAGTGGTCATTCTTCACTCCCTGAAGCAATAAACTTGAACCCAGTGTAAGACAAAATTCTCCAGTAGCACATATTACTAACTATGTCATGTACTTGTACAATAACATGTTGTCTATAGGCATCTACATGTATCAATTTGAAAGCCATATGGTACTGACATGTCTGGCACATTTCAAACAAAACCCTGGCCTTGTCCCAACATTGTGAAAGCGTTTTCATGTAAGGTGACCTCTATCAAAGCCTTGACCCCATACATACACGTAGAACATGCCAACTTTTCAATTATAACAAAGCACAGATATGCATACTAAACTTACCGTATAGTCTGCCAGTCCCTCCCCTATTGCCTCTTTCATGGCTTCCACCCATTCATTCGCCTCCTCCTTGCTTTCTGCAGTAAACCTGCAACAAATTAAAAGCATAGTGCTTTGATTCTTTGATTGCATAGTCTTGTGCTACGTTAGACAAAGATCAAAACAAAACATCTTCTGAACATCAAAATTCAACGTAAGATTTTTCCTCTTGCATATGCAAATTATCTAGTATTAGTAAATGGAAAGAATGTTAACCAGGATTCTGAAGTCTGAATTCAGAATTCTGAAGTTATAGATACAAAATCAACAGATGAAGTAAAAGGATGATAAAGTATATGAAGACATTACATGTATGACTGAAAGGGTGTAGCCAGCTGCCACTTGGTAGGTGACCTGGCTGGTGGCTCCTTCACTGATGCCAGCTTCATCTCTATTCTACTGATGGGACTTGCTGCTTCATAATCCTGCATGATTTAAGATAGAATTGTCAGTAAAAATTCTGTATAATCTTAAAAAACAGAATAGTGTAGGTGTTGGGCAGTCACTATTCTATACTGTATATCTCCTAGTGGAGAGCACTTAATGTACCTCTGACATTTTGAAATTGCTGACATCTGGCAATAAAGTGACAAGATGGAAAAACATAAATTGTCAACTAGACACATTGCATTCCCATCAAAACCATACACCAAGTACCCAATCAGCAAGGGAATGGACAAGAAATGCCTTTGCTAACTTTTCCAATTCAAAGCTATGTTAACTATGTTAAAAATGCTGATGGTTCAATGAGTTTGAAAAGAGCCCCTGCACATGTTTCTACCCAAAGGCTTGTTTAGTATTGTGAAGGAAAGTTGTTACCTCAGTAGTATTGTAATAGCACAGGCGACCTCCCTTGATGGCTATGATGCTGAAACAGTAGAATTCTTTTAGTAGGTGAACACCAATGAATCAGTAAGAAATTAGTGCACTTTATTGTTTATAGTGTTACATGTGCACAAAGAGCATAAAACACAAAGATTTATGTTGTACCTTTTGCCCTTGGTACCTTCCAGTTTTAGCCAGCCCTGGATAAAAAGAATTGAGAAATTAGCACAATGTAGTTGGCATATAATATCATCTTTAATATGATCCTGCATTTTGACATCCAGCTGCAAGGTGGCATTGCAGCACAAAAACTAAATGTACACAAAAAGCCATTAGTCTAACACCACACAAAGGATTTATAAAAGCAGCACATAAATTCTCCCCCCAGTTCCAACTCTGTCACAAATTGTGAAATACAGCCCTCAACATTTATCAAAATGATTTATATATACCCAATTTAAGCTCTCGCAGTGCTGTGTTTCTTTTCTTACCTTCTTATCATAGTCCCACATCTCCCCTCCATTCTTGAAGGCAAAATCTGGCTTCTAGGAAACAACAATAAATGACTCCAATCAGTCAAGCTGTCAGGGGGAGTAGTAAATAACAGGCAGACCAGGGAAGAATAATCTAACAGGCAGGCTAGTGGGAATACCACAGTATCTGTGCCATCTGTCTGAATTTGTCTGTTTCATTCCAGAGCTGGAATCTGTGTATTGTGTGACCTACTTTCTCTTTGACAATATGATATTTGTGGGGCTGATAATAATTTTGAGAGAGATATTGAGCACTTCTTGCAGTGTTTTGCTTTGTTTTTTTTTTACAATTTTATCCACCTTGTCCCTGTCCCTAGTGCTGAAGGACATTCAAGCTGAAATGTCTGTCCCTGTCCCTGGTGCTAAATAACATTCAAACTAACACTGCTGTCCCTGATCTAGGTGCTGAAGGACATTCACACTAACATTGTTGTCCCTATACTAGGATCTGGGGGTCATTCACACTGGCAATACTGTCCCTGTCCCTGGGGCTCAAAAACATTCTAAACAACATTGTTGTCCCTGCCCTTGGTACTGAATGATATTCACACTCGGTCTGGCAATATCATCCCTGTCCTTGGTGCTGAATTACTGACAATAAATAGTGCTATTACTTGGCAATATATTTATACAGTGCTATCCACTACCCATGTTCAGCATGCATGTCACATGTTCACTGCTTCCTGTAGTTGTCTAGAATTGAATTAGGTCTGCGATGACAACATGGCTTCCTTGCTCCCCTGGCCAACTGATAACATTTGTTGCCAAGGGCTTTCCATATTTCAGAATATTCAGGTCACAGAAGCTCTTAGTAATCAATATTTTTCTTCAATATCAGCATGGTCCTATCAGCTGTGGCTACAATGGAACAGCTGCTCTTTCTACCTCTTTGAGCAGATTACTTTCTCATGTGTGTGCTGTGTTATGGCCATGGAATTATGGATACTCCTTTACATTGACATTGCAACTCAGCATAAGTTAAATGGTGCAATGTATGCCCAGTGAGTGCTATAAGAATATAATTGGTTAGGAACAATGATACTATTTTAGCATTGATTTTAATATACAGTGAAAAATAGTTATAGACTGGTTTATTTACAGAAACACATACTTCATACATACATAGTACAGTAGGTTAGAAGCTTTTTGCAGCCAAAGGCTGAATTGAGAAGCTTTTACAAGTTTTTAAGAACTACATGACTAATACATAATGTATATACATAAAAAGTGCCTTGAGAGGCATTAAACACCACTTATGCGCTAGAATGAGTTGCAGAAATATTGAGGACTTACCTTCGTTTCCATCTCTATTATTGCCTGCATGAGACTGCTGGCCCATAGATTCACCTCATCTAAAAGAAAAACATTTTTATTAGTCAAAGAAGTAAGTTTTCACTTTTCTCAAATGTACAACCAGAATTGTTATGTTCTTGTACATTTTGAAGAAGTTTTTTGTGGGGCTAGTGATGCTAGTCCAAAGTTCAATATACAATAAAGGTAACATATTCATTTCAAAGGTTTTAGGTGAAGGTGCTAGGGGTGTTTTTAAGACATATAAGTGTGATGCTGGTATCAAAATAATTTGTTACAGAGGGAGATTTTGTTTCAGTTTAGTTCAGTTTTTGTTAAAAAAGGGGAAACACTAATGATTGCCCCCTCCTGGTATTTCTGACTGGAACATCCCTTACCATTGGTAGCAGCAGCAAACTGGTACGTTCTGGCTCGAGTTTCCAGATTAAACCGGTTGGGCTTGCTGGTTTCCCCCTGCGCAATGAATCACAAAAAAATTGACATACTAAGATTCAGTCACAACAATTTCATCAAGATTTCCAAGCTACTTGATTGCAATAAAAAGCCAATATCAAAAAGTCACGTCTTTCCAAATCATCTCCATTTGGATGGAAAGGACACTTGACCTGAACACTTCTAGGAGCATATCATATAAGAGACATATAATATTGATAAGACACTATATGCTTGAGGACATGGTTACTCTCCAGACCCATACATCAAAATTCCTGCATTCAAGTGCTGCCTTATACAATGTATAAGACAAGAATCAATGACTTTAAGGTCTGAGAATAAATTCCACTGTGTGAAATTGATTGATCTTCCTAAATATTTTGTCGACCTGTAACAATAAGATGTCGCAATGACAGAAATATATCATACAGAAAGGAGAATTCATGAACAAACGGTGGCTCAACTTAATATTCGGGAAGGGCTGACTCTTGCAAAGGTTACATTTCATGTTGGAGATTTACTGTCTCATAAGAGACAGCATTAATTACGGGTGGCTGAGTAAGACATTATGTGTTGAAGAATGATAGCTGCCACTGCGATAGTTAGGGTAGGATTATACAAATGTGCCTTTACAATTTACTACCTCCATATCAGAATCCATCAATTCTACTGTTCCATGCAAGTGGATTGAGCCTATAAATTGTTGTAGGAGTTGCCAACGGGTTTGGTATGTGGTAACAGCTCTGAATAATTTCTAGAATTTCTCAAGTGCGACTCTTGGATGCTGCAATGGCAATGTTGGAACTCATAAATGTTGGGTGTGATGCCTGTATGGTACAGGATATGAAAACTACTCCTGACTAGGATTTATTGGTAGGTATTGAAACAAATCATTCATCACAAAATAATGTTCTTCATATCCCTGCCATTTTTCAAAATGAGGACTCGTCCATCAAAAAGGAGTAAAGTCCTTGAGGGCATGTCAGTTGTAAAGACAGGAATGATCTTTAGTGTTGGAGTCAATGGTCTATAAAATGAAGTCATCAATCACCTTAAACACCCTAATTCCTACTTCTGGGAACTAGACAATTCTTATAGGACAGGAATGATCTTTAGATCCAGTGTATATGATTGAATATTTGCAGAGAGCAGTCTGTGTAACTTCATTTCTTACCTTGGGGTATGTCACAGCTGTCATTGTAAAGGCAGGAATGATCCTCTTGGACAATGAAGTTTGAGCCTACAAATGCACAAACCCATTTTAAGATTAAGGAAGCACGTTTCCAATGTTCTGTTTTAGATAAGAAGTCAGTGAAGGCCCTCAGGCATACCACTGTAATTGGATTTTCTAATAAAAGTATTAAATGATAAGTAGATCAAAGGAAATAAGCCATGTACTAGTCAGTTTATTTCTAAAGAGTACAACTGCCTTACCTTTTCTTTGTTCTCGAAGTAGATGAGTTCAGACCCATCAAACACCACCCAGCGTTTCTTCCACCCCTTGTTACCCTGCTTCCTGTAAGTACAGAATCACCAGACTCATTCCAACTATGAAAACATAACCTACATGTACATCTTCATTCTTCATTCCTGAGGTAGTCGCGCACGGTTTGTGTACAAGAAAAACTGATCATAAAAAGCTTTGACAAAATAATGGGGAGTACATGTATGGCCATCTGAGACTGGTCTTTTATTTTCCAAAGGGTGCAAAAGTTAGATTATCAATAATTTTCATTGTAGCATGAACACTTTGAGTACAATTAATCAGAAACTATTGTGTTAACTTGAAATCGAAGAACCATATGACACAAAAAGGTTTAGAAATCAATTTGCTCATCAGCTATCTTATAAAAAATTGTTTTCCAATACAAAGGTGATCATGAAGTCCATATAACAGCAATAAAAGGTAGTATTGCATAGGAAGGCATTTGAATATGTATAAGTTCTATAATTGCTAATTCACAAGCAACAGTAACAGTTAAAAATTAATTCTATACATTCAGTTTCATTGGTCGCTGGCACACTGGAGATCTATATCATCCAATTTTTATAAATCTAAGAAATTTAATATTCATATACTAATAAAATATCAACATTTTGTATTACAACAGTACTGGCACCCAAAAAGACTACACAAGAATCTTTATTTAGTTAAAAAAAGGTTGCAAGATTGCGATTCGTAAAATGACACTGTTCTGGACTTTCATCAATAAAGAAATTACCACCCTTCAGTAAAGGTCCTTGGCTTCATGCCCAGAACATAACTCAATGTATGGCTAACAAAAATTGATTTTAGTCACTTTCACAGCTGGCCAAAGGGGTGAATAAATTAGGCCAATTTGATTACAGGAATACTTTTTTTTCCTGAGAGGGTTAAAGGGCAGGACAAGGAGGGATTCCTTCAGGAAATAATGCTGCAGAAGTTCAACAGTTACAGGGTCAAGTTCTGCTGCTATCTCTAAATTAGTCACACATTTGCATGCCCTTGCGAAAAAGAGATTACTATTTGTGACTCTTTTGTCTTTTGTGAATCATACTTTGAACTGATAGAGTGTAATGTTGACTGACTGTATACATAATTTTGCAAAGTTGTGTGCAAAAGTTACTGCTTTGCTGTCTTTAAAATCAATCTAGAAATAATGCTGCATGACAATGCATCAATTTTTCTAGTCTCCAAGATCTAATATACTGTACAATGTACAACGTAATAACTATGTATTATGAAGCTTATATCATTTACACTCTGAAGTTACTGTGTTTTGGCAGTACATTTTAAATCATTAGGCAAGCAAATTAAAAGGCACATGTTCTTCTTGAGTTGTCCTATGGGATTACGACATAATTCAGTGTAATAAAGAGGGTCGTAAAAAAGATAAGGAATGCAAGGAAAGACTGTATGCCATCAACGTTTTGGTTCAGTCCTAAATAATTGATTCTAGACTGATGTTGTGTTAAACTTTTTGCAAAAATGACAGCTGCAATACCATGTATTGTATGCCTTATGATAATCAGACTGGTGTAATTTATAAGAGGATACAAATATGGTTCTGTGGCTTACCCTCCTTGTTTCTCCAGATAGCCGCAGCGCTCATTTTTACGTATCTGAGAAAAGAACAAGATATTATAAGGTCATCAGAACTGTGCAGACTGTTGTTACTCTTTCACCAAAGACTAACAAGG